TATTTCGCTTGCTTGCAAAATTGTAAAACCGCCCGCGTAAGACGACGTTCTAAATTTATATCATTCGATTGTTTGATTTCACCCATGATAGCGTTCATCCATTGACAGGTTTCTTCTTGTCCAGCAAGAGAGAGAAGAGAAAAGAAAACGGATGTTGGCATGTCTGCTGAGTCGTCCCTGATCATGCTCTGATAGCAGCCATGTGACCTATCTAAGGTACCTAGGTAGCTGCTAATCGTGCGGGTGAGCGAGTTAGCAGTGGCATGATAAGAATCTGAGAATCAAGAAGAAATGAATAATGTTGAAAAGAATATCATTCAATCCAACAGCACACGCTATGGAGGAAGCAATCTGTTAAGTATGTGTATGTATCATACCACTTCCACATGTCCATTTGAAAAAAATAATAATAGTAATAACAAATTTAACTTCTTGCGAATGTCCAAGTCCCGTCCAACCAAGCGAACGCCGTGTAATGTAATGTACTTAGTTAGCATATATGTCTATATGAGGCAAAATTTCTCTCCAACCGCCTTTTAGACGATCTCGGCAATTCGAGTGCGCAACAAGGAGCTAATAGTAGCATTTGTTGAGGTTTGTGTAGTGGTAACTGGACCACCATCCTTCGTAGCACTTGATTCCGTAAGATTCCTTTCGCTGGGGAGGATTATCTGCATTTTTTTTTTTTTTTTTTCAAAATAATTTAGAGGTGAAGAAGAATGATGAGAATGAATATGGAGTTTCATTTCTGCTGGAAAGGAGAATGAAAAAGGGGGACAAAAAAAGGGGTAAGGGGTAAAAAAGCATGTATAGTGGTAAGTGAATGGGTGAACTATCTCCTAAGGGGGTAGGGTTGGAATTCAAGGGGAAATAGATGCTCACTGCACGGTCAAGTTCATAAGGCAATCCGCGATGTCGGCCGCGAAGCATCAAAGCGCAGATGACTAGTTTTCCCAACACGCTGAATTTGGTCGATAAGCCGCTGTTGATAGATGGATGACTTAAGCTCAGACCCACGTTTCCGCTATAGTTTGTAGCGCGGAGGTTAGATTGTGAGTATACTGGAGATAGTACGGGATGTAGAAGAGATGGCGAGGGTCATGCATTCAATACTAAACTAATTACTAGCAAACGATGTAGAACTAGGAAAATTTACTTACTATGCCGAGACAGCTTCGAAAAAAATCGAGAAGATTGCGAAGTCCTACATGGCTTTGTGTTATTATATTGGCTCATCAAGTTGGGGAAACTCGAAGCAAAACATACCGGATCCGCCTTATCTGCCAGTTTCGACCCTTCGGTGATCATAAGAAGAAACATCCCGAAGAAGACATACCAGAGGTCAAATGCAAGTTGTTTTTTCATATGTGCACCCACATAGGAGGCGGTGCTATTTGATTCGTCGATTTCATCGCTTTGTGGATCATAGAGTCCCAAGGAGTTCTCTTCATAGGTATTTGTTCTGTTGAGGGTAATTAGTTTGATATTGGTGCCAGAGGGGAGGCGCTTGTGGGAAAGGGATGGGGGGGTATCTTCTTACTTTTCGTACGCTAATGGCAATTGGGAAAACAGAGATATACATCATTACTAAAAATTAAATCGGCATGTTAGCTTGACACAACAACTACGGCCACACCCTTTCGCTTTGAGCATACCCATAAGCATGAACTGTACAGCCGGATGCACCTTAGAAACATTAAAAGTGCTCGTCCCTGTCGTGCGCGCCGACGCTGCCTGAAAAACCGCAGCCAGAAACCTATTCCATGAGGACGGAACAGCCAGGACTTCTTCGTTATGCAGGTCTAGAACTAGGAATAGCAGTACGTCGATGAAGTTCAGAAATACCAGGCTGAAGAATAACATCCAGGTAGGGCTAGATGGGAAAAGTAGAGTGTAACATCGACGAGGATGGTCGAGTAGAAAATTCAATGGCTCGCGGATTGCAGAACCCTGGGGCGAGATTTTGAACATAAGCCATATGACGAGGCGTAACATACAAGGGTAGCCTGTGTTCCCAATGTACATTAGAAATGTCATGATGAAGATGGGGAAGGTTGCGTTGCGGAAGCTAGTCATCGAATCTGGGGTAAGAGTGAATCCAAGATTGTTGTAGGTGGTCATCCCAGAGAAAATTGCCCTAGGTGCCACCCGAATATACATATCAGCCAATTCTAGCTCTTTACCCTCGTTGGATATTTTTCATATTGGCGAAGCAATGCGGGGACATACCACCAAGTTGGGCTCTGGCCTGCAGATTGAATATAGTCCCGGTACTTCCGGTCTGAATTGTGAATCCAACCGATTAGGCAAACGACGCCGAATACATGCCAAAATACGTAGTAGCCTGTTTTGATTTACAAGCATTAATAACTTCCAAGTATAGAAAGAGATAACAGGGATGGGGCATACTGAACACAATCTTCGCCAGAAGTTTCAGGCTACGATACTCAATTCCTCCCAACTCATCCCTCTGGTCATCAGTCAAACCCAGGAACCTCGAATTACGACCGATTGTTGGTTGGTAAGAGAGATAGGGCATGTCGAGGGGGACCCGATCAGCCCTCGAGGACGATCGATGTAGTGGGTTAGAAGACCTCGATCGAGAACGCTTCCGTGAACTATTTCCGAGAATAAAAGCATTCGAAGCAGCTCTTTCGACGGAAACTGCGTGGGACAACAGCCTACCCATAGTGGGCAATCGTCGGCGTTCATTTTCCCCTGAGGGACCAGCCATTGGCGGTTCTTCGATGGTTATGCTTTTCGCCAGGTCATCTATAGTTTTTGTGAGTTATGTCATTTCGTCAGCTTCCCTATCAGCTTAAACATATATATGCATCACATAGAATGAGAAAATGGTTAAAATGCCGAATTTGCAAATCTTACCATCGTCAACCTCGCGAACCGTTTGTCCTATTTGGTACCATATTAGCAATACTCGCCGACACACGAAGTTTGCCGGTGTTAGAAAGGAAAGGGCTCATTCCCACCGCTCTCAAACTCTCGTGGTCCAGGAATCCGCAATGCGCGTCCACGAGGCTCCATGTTTGTTTCAGCTGAGAAGCTAATATGCGCAGGCGGTGCACTCCGTTCAATACTATTTTTCTTGAGGGAAGCGCTAGTTCGATCAATCACTACAGGCGTTGGGTCCGATGGAGAAGCAGGAGGATCTGGGGTAGAGGTAGAAGTGGTTGAATCATCTATTTCAACAGCGCAACTTTTCACATTCTCGTTTTCGTTCTCATTAGGAACGGTTCCATTTCGACTGTCGCTTTCGCTATTAGCATTATTGTTGGGAATTCTGCTAAGAATCCTGGCTCGTAGCCTTAGGCCCTCCGACTCAGAGGCGGCTGTCCTGCTGCTCCCAATTCTTGGCTCAGGACGAAGCACTCTGATATCTCGTATTCTCGCCGCGGTGAGTCTGTTTCGCAAAGAGATACTGTCTCTTCCTCGGGAGTCTGACGATTGCAATTTATTGGAACGAGGTCGATCAAGCAAACGCTGCCTTGACAATCGAACTAAATTGTATAACGGATAGCAAAGTCAACTGGTGATCGAACGCACACAAGTCTAATAGATAAATCATGCTGTATCTCAGTGGCCCTCAGAACGCGACAGAGGACTGATTGAAGCTCCCCGTGGGAACTGGGAGATTTTTACCAATGTCTTTGAATCGAGTTTCGAACCAATATAGGCGAACAAGCACTACCGCTAGGTTTATGACACTCAAATTGCCAATCAAGGGGACAACGTATATCACCACTTGTTGGAATGTACGCATTTTATTGACATCAACACTTTTTTTTTATGGGGATTTTTTTTTTTTTTTTTTTCATTCCTCGGATGTTAGCTTACAATATAGGAACCAAGTTGAAGATGGGGGAAAGGCACAATTGAGGGGAGTTCAGAGCAAATGGAGCGTGCATACGTATTCAACCCCGTCGTCGTCGCCGCACTGCAGCTTGTGAAAAAGGCATCGATTCCGGACAAATTTTGGGCCGGATATATGACAATCACGGCCAGCACACTCAGGAGTAAGATATAGGTATCTAAACACGGCGAAACACAAACTGTTAGAAGATGCCCTTTCTGTCCCACGGCCGATATGAAATAGAAGGGGGAAGATATCTCTACAATGGAGCCGTATAAAATTCAACCGCGGAAGTTTCATTGGATGGTAGATATGTAGTTAAAAGGGGGCCGCAAAAGGGCAGTTGAAGGATGAGGTCCTCGCCACACGAGAATGCCGCCAGAAAGAAGGCAAGGGATGATCGAAAATCTTTTGAACGAAAACGAGGGAAACAAGAGCAAAAAAAAGGAAGGAGGACAAATGTCAAGTTATATATGTATAATACGATTTGCAAAATCAAATATATTTTGGCATTAGAAATGGAATTCGGGGATGGGATGGGAATTGAACACGAGTGAAGTAGAAAAGAACATCGCGATCCTGGTCATGAGGGGTGTAGGCCAAGATATGGCGCTGTGGAGCCATTCCAGCCCACAACGATTGGCCGCCGATTTAGCAGTTGGCAGAGTGTGGCGGTTCAGCCTTGTTCCATTAGCATTTCGCGTCAGCATGAGGTTGCTCTCCAGCAGGAATGTCCAACCAACATTGAAGTTAAACCCGACCAGCCAAGATAGATAGATATCTCGTAACAGTCGGGTTTTCCCGCACAAAAAATAACCAATGAGGAAGATCAGTGAAAAGTCATCTTCCAAGACAGCCAGTTTTACAGATTAGTGCGATAGTTTCGCGAAGGAAGGCTGGACACGGTGATTATTGTATCAAAAAATGTTGTTGTCCCAAGAGGTTCAGCCGGTCGGTTCCTATGGATCGTCGCAATTAATCAAGAAGCCCGAAACACTAATCCTACTATTCCCGAATCTCGAGGAGCTTTGCGTAGTTGTTGATTCAGAATAACACCGCTTTTTGTTTTCCTATTTTTCGTTTAGTGCGCAAAATTTCTGAGCTCCACTTTGGTCCTTGGTCCAGGGACGCGACCGGAGAAAACTGCCTCCTCGCCTCATCTGCGGCGGGTGATAGGTTCGCAAAAACAAACAGTATGTGAAGATTATGGTTCAGCATCGAGCCTGGCAATGGAAGTCTGACCGCTGGTGACTCGGAATGCAACGTCAGGCATCGCGCGGTAATACGAGCCATCGATAGAACCGGAAATCATATAAAACTCTAAGAGGGCCAGAGGAATGAGTCGAGGTAGCTGGTTTTCAGCTAGGAGACTAACAGTGGTAGGTAAGTAACCGTCTACCCCTTCTATCAAATTTGCAAGCATCCTCGTACAGAAAATGAAAATAATAAATTGATTGTTCATCTAAAAGCAACGTTCTTTTGTTTTTGCAGATTCCCTCCAAATCGGGACAACAAGGATAGGGTTTAGGGCTAAAGTTAATTTATTACTGGATTCGGGTTGAGGCTCTGCTGACTGTCCACAGGCCAAATCTTTCACTTAAGGCAAGCTTGCTGGCTTCGTTCCACAACATGCTCAGGCACAGCATCATGTTCTAGAACCTGCGGATAATAAGATCCATATCTACGCTGGATGCATTGAATTCAAAATGGCTGTTGCGAATGCGACGGGAGCAGTTGGGTCACCTTCAATCATACCATGCATCTTGCGACCCTGGACTTCTATCAACCAGGGCTGAGCTGCTATGTCCGCGGCTGGAGGTCAGGTTCAACCCACAACATCAACTCAGAATCAATCTTCAACTGGTGGTTCATTCAGCACTTTTGGCTGGTTTTGTTTCCTAACTCAATGGGGGATTTTTCAGGAGTGCTGGCATCAATATGAAAATCCATGTTTACCTCGTGTTCCGACCAATATCAACCAGGTTCTTTCTTCCATGTGATGACTGTTAATGATTGCACAGTGCCTCGGGAGTGCTTGCCAACTCAGGGGTAGCATGATGGAGGAAAGGGGATGAGATCCGCTCCCTTTTCTATGACTTTCTAATGACAATGAGTATATATGATGAGTTCGTCGAACCATCCAGATGTCCTTAATCTCCCAAAGCACGGGATGGAGCCTGCCTGGGTTTTCTTATCGCTACCGGACTATTACATTTACTCAAAGGAAGCAGGAGACCGATATCACTGGAGAAACAATCGCGGAAAAAGATGATACTTTTTTTTTTTTTCAACCTGGACATGCTTCCGTCATACGGAAAGAAGGGGTGGCGGTGGGAAAGAAAAATGGGAATCGATTTCAACTCCATGCATGTTGGATTGTAATTCCTTGATTATTAACTTCGGTGGTTAAGTTCAATCCGGTCTCGATCTGCATTTGACCTTTTATTGCTTCTTGATCTCTACATTGATATTTCTAATATGCAGCCTAACTCTAACTTCATGCTCGACTCCCATATTTAAGATATAATTTGCTCTACTGAAAAATTTGCTCTACTGAAACAATGTAGGGTGTCAACCCGCCATTTTCAGTCAAAAAATGAACTTTCATCAGTGATTGCCTCATACAGTACAAACCACACAGAGACATAGCTGAATAGCTGGCATGCATGGCTTCTGCATGCATCAACTTGGGCTATTTCACAAAACAAACAAATGACTTGTGCAATGTTACAATATCATTGAAACCCTACCATGAACTCAAACAGCAAAGGAAATACATCTTTGACAAATGAATGCTTTTTTTTATTTATTTGTTTCTATACGAACTGCATTATAGAGCATAGACTGCTGGAAACTAACAGGGATTATGGGACTGTGAATTGATTATTTCAAGACATGCTTCTCAGGTCGGGCACTGGTAAATGGAAGCTGAGATTGTACAGGATGCAGCTAAATGAACCCAGCTGCATGATTAGAGCCTTTACCCACACATACAAAGACACATGAATAATATTCAATGGCTAGAGTGAAGATGGAAGGGTGTTGTTGCATTGAGCGTGACAGCATTCGCCAGCGACAAGCAATAGCATAATTATTTATATACATAAAGCAAAATAAATAAGGTGATTTATAAAAATTCTAGCTCAACTAACAATGTGAGAGCCATAGGCTTCTCAATTTGTGTCTTTGCAGCCATAGCCAGACATCAATACCTGAATTATGTGAATTTAGTAATAATGTGTTATTGCATCTTAACATCTTACATCGAATACGTCAACATAATCATCTATCCATCATTGTTAACCCAGGAATGTCCGGCAGCTAAAAATAAAGTGACCTAACCCCGGTGGGGCCCATCCAGGCACAGTGCATATAAGGAAATAGCACATTACTATTCCAGCCAACTATCTCGCGCCATCACGGCCACGTTTTCCACCGTATGGCTTCCCGAGTAAACTCGCAAAACTAGCTCGATTGAAGAGAAGCATCCATACCGCCGTGCAGACCGCCAACAACCTGGAGCTTACCTACCCGCTTCCCGTAACTCTTATCAATTTACAGATTAGTTCCATAGTAAATCAATATATATAATATATATATATATATATATATATTTAAAAAAAAAATATTTTGTTTAAAATTTATTTTTGCTTTGTTTTGGAAAAAGGCCAGTGGTAACTACTAAATATTCTAGGTAACTGCTGATCATCAATTTGTGCATTTGCTCTCTCTCTTGTTGACATGCGTAGAAGCCAAAGGGAGCCACCCGCGTCCAAGTTTAAAAGAGCGTGCCCCTGAATTTTAATCGTGGTCTACTTTTTCTATTGTTGAAGTCTCACCTCGATACCATTGACGTCATTGGTGTTTCATGATTCTATGATTTAGTTAGTAGGTAAAACTGGAGCTTTTGAAACGCTTGAAGACTTGATATCTACAATAGGTTGGAATTATCTAAAGAAAATATCTTAGCTTTGTAGAGGTTTTTGCAATGGCATTTTGTTGATTACATTTTACGCTTCTATATTTCAAAGAAGAAGAGAGATGTGTGCTTCATCCATGCTCCATACACGAATTATCTTTTCAATTTCCGAGCTTAAATATGTCATTTCTAGATCATGGTCTTGACAACGGTGTCATCCCCAAGCGAACAAGAGGGACTGAATGCGAAAATAGTGTTTCAAAGAGTGGGAGAAAAAGATATATATATATATTAAAAAGCAACAGATGGCGCCAATGAGTGCTACGGCATTTGAAAGGAAAAAGGCTAGATTAAACGAGTACAGAGGGGCTCCAAGGAGCTTTGTGAAAATGATCTGATGCATCACATAAAGTCTGAATAAAACCGAAAAAGGAAGAGGAAAAAAAACGTAAGGAAAGGGTAGTGGAGAGAGTGGGGGAAATAAGTTGGGATTTGATGGGCTTTGGAATGGTATATACTCGAACGCAAGGGAACAGTAAGACGCTGGAAACCCCAGAGAAGTGAAAGCATATGAGCGTGTAACTTAGGGAAAGGAATGGTGCTATGTTTCTCAGAGGATAAGGAGGGAGGAATGATGTTGAAGGTATAGTTGATAATCAAGGAAAAGGAAACAAAAAGGGAAAAATATCTTCTGGGACAGCTTTACCCAAAGAAATAGATAGTGTTTCGATATATAAAATGGAATATGTATATATGTGTTTGGTCTCCAGAATTAACCCTTCAAGCAAAACATCAACCACCAGCGGTAGGAAATTGGCCAGGCAACTTGTATTCACTAACCATCGTCGGTAGCTGGCGAGTTTGGTCAGAAGCTGTTTTCATGGTTTTTGGGGTGCCCACTCCTGTGGCTGTCGGAATTGTTAATGGTGTCGTTGTATCTTTCCCCAATCCATTGCTGGAGTGAGGTATGTTGTTGATAGTTGATGACACTGTACTTCCCCCCAGTCTGACCCCTTTATCTGCTGAGATATGGGAAGACGATAGCGCTGCTGATTTGCCGTCATGGGAGAGGTTGGGAGGGGAAGTTGCCAGTTTGCGAGAACCGATCGAGGCATCAAGATTAGAGGTTGTTTGTGATAATGAGTACGTAGATTTCTGAGGGGCAGTTGTAGTGGCCGCGTCCGCCATCCAATCTGCATAGTGACTATCCTGCCCTTCGAGTACACCAGAATGGCTGAGATCGGCGGTATCATCGTGGACCCCATCCTGGAGGTCAGCTATATGGTTCTTGGTTTGTTCGGTAGAAGCTGTGGCTGGCGCTATTGAGTCGGGATCTCCAGAGCTTTCTCTAGATGAGGAGTAAGTGGCGTGAGAATTTCGGCGGAGGTTGATATCACTTGGAAATCTCCCACCTGGTTGAGGGCGCTGCTGCCATTGCGTTTCCACAGATGGAGGAGCTTGATTTGCAATCACACGGTCTGCAGAGTATGGTGTTTCATCTGCTTCGTCCTCATCCATGACGCCTTCGCTGCTGATAGAACCCGCCCGGTAGAGCCCGCCACTCAGATTGCGGGAATGTTTGCGAACAAACGCATTGCGATCCTCGCCGGTTTTCTCAGTAAGATTCTTGATGTCGTTGTACCATTCGAGCATAGTGTCATGAGATTCTGCTCGAAATACCCACGCATGGCCGCGATGCATCGCACCCGTTTGCCGTCCTTTCAACATGAACTTGTGGGATGCTGAATTACTTTGAGAGTGGGAACCTAACTTTTGTTCTGGTAGATATAGCGACATGACTGGATTTTGATACTCGATTCGATCCGCAGACTTGTATTCATGTAAATGTGTGGGTGACAACACATACCTATATTCAGTCAGTATCCGTGATTGAATTCGCTAACTCAAAGCGATATCAATAGAAAACCCCGGAATATGTGTTTGCATTGAACATACCAGCCAGGTGTGTAGCTCCTTAAATACTTGCTCTTACGTTCAAGCATGCCAGCGCGCACTTCTGCCGCTGCAGGATGACTTTTTCCAGGGTAATGAATATGTTGAAAATCTCGAAGCGGTAACAGAGGATCGACCAGGCGGTCGTTGTGAGATACAAAAGCGTCCCATTCACGATCTTGGGGCACACTTATTGGGCCATCAATGAGCTGACCTGCTGCATCGTATGCTGCGTCTGCATCGCGTTTCAGGATATTTGCATACATATTGTACGTTTTCTGGATCTCCGTGACAACAATGCGTTCAAGCTCACGACCTGAGTTTTCCAGGTTCAAGAACGCCTGTGAAGAAGGGTCAGCAAATTGGGTCCACAACCTACAGGTAGCAAGGTGGCAGGGAAACGTAGATGGGCTGCATACACGATGCAAATAATTCTCTTCATCAATCTGCTTTTCAAGCTGCCTATGTACGGCACACTTCACAAGGAAAGGGTCTCCTTTCCCCGAAATAGCTGCTGGGTCTGTATCTACCAGCCCAAGGGCTTCCTGTAAATTCCTCACGGCTTTCCGAGTGCCTTCTAGCTCCTTGTCCACTGAATTTTTAAAGTCGCCAGAGAGGCCCTTGATCTCCTTGATTTTCTGTCGCAGATCTGACCGAAGACCAGTAAGTTGTTTAATGACTTCTAATTCGACGTCCTTTGCCTTCGCCGATTCTACCACCGCCTGTCTATGATATTCTTTTAATATTTTGGTAGCATCAGAAATACCGCCTGTTGCAAGAAATGTGTTTGGAAAAACGACATTGTTCATCGAATCCGACGCCGAGAGGAGGGTTTTTGATCTGGTTTCGTGCGATTTTTGAATTTCCCGAAAAACCATTATTAAATCCTTTAAGACCTTACGCCAGGCTGTGTCGCATAGTTAGTTCTGGGTTCGATCCGAGCCAAAACAGGGGAGTCATATATACAATATTCTCCAGGGGTATATTGCTAATAACTGCCTACCTTGGAATCTCGCAGCCAAAACATCCGTTGGACTCCCCGAAGTAGGTATTGGAATATAAAATGCACTGTTGATGTCATCACTATCCAGGATCCCGTACTTCTCTTTCTCACCCAGAGCCATACTCCTTACACTCCCTGCACGGCTACTCCTCCGGCTCCCGGCCCGTCGTAAACTTCCCTTTTTACTCAATGAGGGTTTCTTTTTTATGGTCCCCGAAGCTCGAGACGGCGCGAGCGATACTGCCGCTGACATTTGTGAGTCAGAGCGGTGGAGGTTATTCGTATTATGAGGAGGACCATCGGTAACAGACGACCCACACCGACTGGACATATCTTCATGGAATCGAGATACTTGAGGTGTTTGGGTCGAATGTTGGACGGGAACTCCCCGGACCTGGAAGTCCGAGGGAACAATCGAACCGGGCGTGGCCATGTAGGAGGTTGGATGAGCGGCAGAGACAGAAGCAGAGCCGTTAATCTGATTCACATGGGAGAGCTCTGTAGAGTTTGGAACCGCGATATACGCATCGCGCAACGGAGTTTGAGGTCGAGCGGCCATGGGGCGGGGTACACTGTGCTGGTCGAAGCCACAGCTGTTTGTATTGTTAAGAATTCCTTCTTCCTCGGACACCAAGCAGCGGAATCTGCGTAGTTCAAGTCCCGGTATCCACAAATCTAATAAATTTGGGAGCCGCAGGCGGCCTGACAGTTGCCGTTCACAATATTCGCTGTGGGCGGGAGTAGGATAGTTACGAACTGGGTAACTGACAGCATGGACCGATTGTTGGGGCAAGATCTAGAATATGCCAATATGTCAATACGACGAAAACAGGGAGGTTAACAAGAGCCTTCGAGAGAAGCATAATCGTGGGGGAGAAATGAAGCCTCAGGAATAACCTTGAGGCATGGGTTTTGATGACAACAAGCAAGACATCATCATCGGGCTGGCGGGAGGCTTTTCGGATGACGTCGAGAGAGAGGAGAGGAAGGATCCAAGTACTGGGCAGGTATTCACGCACAAAACCCGGCCGGGACTTGGCGCTAAGTAGAATATACCGGTACCTCTGAATACTTGTCAACTAAGAATTGAGATTCCCCCGTTGATTCCTGAAGGCAAATTATGATCAGCACCGTTTGCCACCTTTGGAATACGGACTTGAGCAGTACATATTTCCTATTACATGTTTCAAAGAGGACAACAGCAGCACAGCAAGTTGGCGCCAGAAGTGCCACATCTTCGCTAAGTGGCCAACCAGCTGTCATGTGATATCTCTACAAGGCAGCTCCTCGCAGGCAATTAGATTACCCAAACTACTGAAGATTGCGTAAAGGTCCAAGCCGTATAACAAAGATGCATCTATTATGGAAGGCAGATTCTGTTTGTCGCGCATATAAAGCGGAAACAACATTTCCCCTTCCGTGAGGATGTGCAGACGCATGTTCCGATTTGGCCCATTCGGGCGCAAACATCACAAAACTTTTCATTTCACACATCGAAACTAAAAATTGAAACATTCTCTCTATCGATGAGAAAGGTCAAACTGGAGACTAGGCTGAAATTATGCTAGCATTTAGCTAGGAGGTAATATTGAGGGCATGGTACAGGAGGGAACGATTGGTGGTTGGCTGGTAATTCGGGGAAAAAGTGGGTGTGAAGGTTCTGATGGATTTGGGTCCCGACACAAACAATATATACTATAGGAAAGAGATAAGGAAACAAGAGATGGGGGAACGGAAGTAAGGGCTGATATATATGACTAGGAAATGTATATGCAAGTATTTTGTATAAGAAAGTTGATATTATGCTCCAGCGGGCTGTGCTGTGGCAGGCACGTCAATGCCGTACTTCTCCTTTATCCTCTGCCGCCTTCGTTCCTCGTAGTTCTCACCCCGGATACCTGTAGTTTCATTTATGTTTAGCACTCATGTCGTTGTAGAAACAGGGGATTTAGGCCGCGGATTGGTAAGAGAAGCATTTACATACCTCTGCCTTCACCAAGTTGGGCAATTGTCTCCTCGATTGGGGATCGGAAATTTTTCCTGAGCCTTTCCCGCCTGTCAAATTCATCTTCCTCGGTGGCATGTCCTTTGCCAGCAAGACTTCCTCCAGTAAACTCAAATACACTGAGGGCCATGGCCACAATCACGCCGTAACCAAGAACTGCGGGGAATGTTCGGGCTGCAATAAATACATGGTGTTAGCGCTGGTTGCCAATTTCGCGGACTCTGAAGGATTTGAAAACAGAGGGCAAGGCAAACCGCGCAATCCAATAGCTGCTCCGCCGAAAAGTCCTCCCCACGCAGCATTCCAGTGGTCCTCTTTCTCCCTTAGATTCGCTGCCGCTACCCTCGCGAATTGATACGCACCGCCCACCGAGGCTACAGTCACAAAATTAGCTGAGTATCAGCAATGCTCGCCTATCTAGATTATTCCATTCCATCCATCCATTGCCATTGACACGAGCGAGTCTTCCATACCGAATAAAGCAATTGTGCCGCCTGTTCTTGTGATAACGCCCCAGGGGCCGTAGTTTCGTTTTTGAAGGGTGTTCTGAACAGACGAGGCGAAGAGTCCGACAGCACCTGTCATGAGTGTGGTCTTGATTGTGGAAGAGATGGCATCTTGTGGTTGGTAGGTTTCGGCTGTAGAAGACATGATTGCTTCGGCAGGGAAAGGGAAACAGAAGACAAGGCTGGGTTGCCGAGAGGTGTGAGTTAAAGCAATGAGATAGTTAGCTCCAAGCGTGTGGGAGGGTGTCTGAAGGATGGCTAGTTGCTGGTGGTCTTGGCAAACCTCTTGGAGCATCATCTTGACAAACGAAACACAACTAGTTACAATCACACAGTATTTGAACACGCCGGCGGAGTTGCTGGAACTACCCTTTCTTTGAATAGGAGAAATGTCTAGGAGGTAGACAAAAGCTCAGTGCAGCGCATATCCTCTTGTCCTTTTACTCTCGTGGTTTCTCTCGTTGCGTTCCCCCACCTACGCCAACCATAGATACGACTCCCACATCGCATTCCTCCCCTCTCTTCGGAGGCTCCAAGCTGCTATCTCTACCCCTGACACAAATCTCGTTTAATAGCTGTGAAGAGATAGTTGCCAGAAGCTTATTTGTTCTTCCTCGGCCAACCTCTGCGCCATCCTTGCTTCCCATGATCCCTCAATGCTGGACATCCTGAGCGCATTTGCGGAACTTCTGGTAGTGTCAATTGCTAGATTCAGCACAGCGCTGCCCTTCACGCAATACGCTATCAGTTTCTATATTGGGATCTCCAATGTCGCATATGTCTCTTCCCCAGGGACCTGGTATGATTATTATCCTGAGAAGCTGACGGTTTTCCCCGTTATTTTCTTATATCTGCAGCCATTGCTAACACAACGTGAATTTCGATTTACCTGCCAGGGAAAACCACTCCCCGATTTATCCAAGATGTCCTTTCTTACGACCCTGCAAACCCTCCCAGCTCATCCTTCAACCTCTTGACTCAATTTCCGCCTCCTTTTCACGATCCCGATAACTACCCGGAACTCATCTCGCCGAAGGCTTGTCCCCACCAATACATCACAAAGGCTAACCAAACCGAGCTTCCTCCTGAAGGTTTCCAGGCTGGACTAAGGACTCCATTCAAAGTGTCCGCTGTGTGCTTGATCTGCCGCTATCATTTAGAGATCAAGATAACGCATACAACAGAAGCATCTCACTGCCCTAGCCAACTGCATCACATTGTTTATTCCCACAGCGACAATCGCCAAGATTCAAACCCTTTCCGCCAAAAAGGCCAACGATTAGAAGCCCATTACTTCCGTTGTTCATACCCGACATGCGCTGCTGCGATTTCCCTCAAGTTACTTTCCCCGATTTTGACACCGCACTGGGTGGACCTCTTGACGAACACGGAGCTACTAAAAGTCAGGACCGATGCGGCTATGGAAGCGTATCCGGAGCGACTAGAGGGCCACAGTCGACCATTGCCCATCACCGTCTTGACAAACCTTCGTACTTACATCGAAAATGCCTTGCATGACAGCCAGAGAAGCAAGTCAATATCTAAGTCAAATAAGCGATTCGTTGTCTGTTTTGGTGTGGATGGTCAGCCTTGCCATGAGCTTTTGGAATTCCTAGAATTTCAACCCAGAGTATGTATAGCTTCTAGAATCCTTATCTGGGCTGTAGTGAAATCCTCATTCTTTTTGACTCCTTGGGCTCGCATAGGAAGATGTTTGGGAACCTCCGCGTCCTAGCACATCCGACCTCGTCCCGTATCAAAATATTCTAAATATTTTCCTTGACAACGTGTCAAGTGAGCTTTTAGCTTTCATCTACCGAAGACCCGCCTACGAGAAAGAAGGCCAACAACTGGGAACACCCCTCGACCCTGCCATTGGCAAGTTCAATCAGCTCCTTGGTTCATCGACTTGTGAGTATCCGCCACCATATGCTCTAGGTCAATATGCTTACCCTTTAGTAGACGACAGGGCTTACCCTCCCATAACAGTCAATCCAGAGATAAGAAGGGCACCGTGAGATTTGCTTTCATTCTTCCCCGCGACCAGAACTAGTTGTTTTTTTCGCTAACCAAATCTTCAGATATTACGAGGATCTTGGAGTGACTGATGACATGTCCGCGGATCTTATTATCGAGGCGTACAACCGACAGATTGAAACCGATCCTGGACGAAGTCCCTATTATCTCAGATGTTTGCGACATATTGGCGAATGGAGACGCGTCACAGATGGAGAGAAAATCAACAACTTGGTCACTCTTGAATGTAGTGGTTCTCGATACGCGGACGATGATATCCCACGTGCGTACAAGTACTTCCAACTGGATTATGGAAACCGAAACTTGACAGATGATGACATCATTGGCTCTTTCTTTGCTCGGCTTCGCGATACTGCTAACGACACGGAAACGAGACGACAACTTTGGAGGATTGGAGAAAGCCGAGGAAGTGAGAAAATCAAATCAGTGGCTGAAGAGCGTATGTGTCATGAAGGGCCAGTCAGAGCGAATTCCAGACTAACAGTTTTATAGGTTTATCTACTGTAGAGCAGGCGCTGGTATACCTTGGAGTAGAAAATGATACCTCTGATGATTTTATTGTTTCTATGTATGCCGCAAAGGTAATTTTCGCTCTTTTGGTGCTAGCAATTTTGTTGCATACAAATACTTACCTAGGTACGCTCAAATTAGGTTAATGATCAGCCAGCTACTAAAGAGCTAGCTCGGAAGGCAATTGCCTTGATTGCCGAGGCGCGCAATTCCGATTCTCTGAAGTACTTTTTAACTACTGGTGAAACAGCCGCCACAGAGATGGATGTTGGAGAGGCGTTCCGTCTCCTTCAAATACCTGACCGGACTGTGGATGATGCTGCGATTCTTGCTGCATTTTCCGTTTGTTGCTCAGAGGCTCCGGGCCAGATTGAAGCGTATAGACGAGCTCTTGGTGTTATCGGCAGAGAGAAAGGAAGTGCGTTGATCAGCAGCACTCTCGGCCAAGAATCGACGCAGGCAAACCGTGTACTGAAAGAATGGCCTGTCGGTCTCCAAAATATCGGCAACACCTGTTACTTGAACAGTTTACTCCAATTTTACTTCACGGTGACTCCTTTCCGTAAGATGGTTATTCATTTTGATGACTATAAGATGCCTCTCGACGAGACAAGTCTTGAGAGGAAAAAGATTGGATCCCGAAAAGTCTCCATTGCTGAGATTGAGAGATCCCAAAAATGTAAGTTTTTGGGAAATTCTGGCCCTGTTTGGATTAAGGATAACTAACCGAATCTTATAATAGTTCTCCTGGAACTCCAATTATTGTTTAAAAAAATGATAACATCGCCTACTTCCTCCGTCATTCCTGAGCAGGAACTTGCTCGGCTAACTCTTATTAGCTCTTCAAACGAAGCAGCCATCCGGAGGAAATCCTTGATCACGAGCAGTCGGCCCAACCTTGGTGAGATAAATGGCATGCCAGTTTTAGGCCCATTAGGACCCATAACAACTGTCACTACAGAAGTACCAAAAGATGTGTCAGCAGGTGCAAGTAATCAGAAAGTTGAACCTAGTGATGGGGACAGCGATATAACACTTGTTTCATTAACGGCACAAGCAGATAATGAGGAACTGTCGATCGACAATAAGGAAAATGTAGGGCCGGCACCTCAGGATTCTTCTATCGACGTGAAAGAAATAGATGATTCAAACCATACGAGCGCCGCTACTGGTACGTAATGCAAACACTAAAAAGAATTCTGGAATCTATCACTCAGAGCCCAGGGGGCTAAACTGTCTATGATGAACTATAGGTGATTCTATACGCCCGCCGTCGTCCATGGGCCCTCCGAGCAGACCCCCTCCGGTTCCCCCTCGACCAATAGCCTTACGGCAGGAGCCAGTAGTCAATTACCAACAGCAACTTAGGGACGAAGTTGAGCTAGGGGCACAGCAGGATGTTACGGAGGTTATTAACAACGTTCTTTTCCAGACTCAGTGCGCTGTCAAACCTATTAGATTCGATCAAGATGGAGAGCAGCTCGATGTTGTCACAGAGTAAGTCTTTGATCTGCGACCTCACTACAACAATAAACGACCGTACAGTTTCAACGCTGACTCATATTCAAAGTTTATTTTATGGCAAGACCGTTTCCTACATTACGGCAGAAAATGGGGTTCGGTCCAAGGAAGAGTCTTGGTGTGATATCAAGATCGACGTTGCCACTGGATCAAAAAACATCTATTCTGCAATCGACGGTGCTTTTGATGTACAAAAGGTAGAGGTAGATGGTGCTGAGGTGGAACAATACGGCACCATCAGCAAGTTGCCTCCAATTCTCCAGATCCAAGTCCAACGTGTTCAGTTTGACCAAGTCAAGAAGGCGTCGTTTAAGTCGACTCATCACCTGGCGTTGAAGGAAACGATATATTTAGACAGGTATATGGACAGTAATAAGCATAATCTGGATGAAAGGCGCCGTGAATGCTGGCGTTGGAAGGATGAGCTCCGCAAACTGAGAGCGCGTAAAGCTGAGCTTATTGATACAGAGGTATGGAATTTTTATATTCTTCACTATCACCCATGGCCAAGGCTAACTACCATATTCTTGAGTAGAGTTGGACGTGCTTACCGGATGTCTTCACGGAGACAAAGGTGCGCGTTCAAAGCCTGATGAGTATAGGAGACGATCCTGAATTGGCAGATGAAGCACTGGAGCTCGATGACACTATTTTATATCGTCTTACAGCAGTTCAAGAGATGGTCCAGGATGAAATTAAATGTACATCAAGGCTGCTAGTTCTTTTATATTTCCCCAAGTAACATATTATACTAATAAGCAAGAACAGGCCTCGAAGCACGAGAAAAGGATTTAATCGCGTTGATTGAGTCTCAATTCACCGATCTTCGCCATCTCCCTTATCGGCTATATGCTGTTTTTATGCACCACGGCTCTGTTGAGTTTGGTCATTATTATATTTATATTTTTGACTATGACAAGAATATATGGCGAAAGTACAACGACGGCGAGGTTACAGAAGTCCAAAGCAAATCCGAGATATTTGAAAGCCAAAATTTAACCAATCCACCTACACCGTACTTCCTCATATACGTCAACGATCGTATGAAAGACAGACTCGTAAAACCTGTCAATCGCGAAATCGAAGATGTCAGTCCTACTGGCATCCCATCACAGCCAGCACCAGCACCAGCACCATCTGTAGTTGTGCGTGGTCAGCAAGCAAATGGCCCCGGACCATCGCAAACGAGCACTTCGCCCAGCGGCGAGATAGAGATGGAAGAACCCCCTGCGTACAATGAGATAGAAAATGTACATGCAGGTATGGATTGTGCCAATGGCCAAAATGGGACAGTGGATGGCAACGGTAACAAATACACCACTAAAGACACCGCTACTGCTGCTTCTGCTGTCGCCGCCACCGCCGCCGCAACCATTCTCAAGGGGAAGTGGAATAAGAAGTTTGCTAACATTCCGTCCGTGTCGTGGTAGGAGCAGTGGTCATGACGGAAGCTGAAATTGCTGTATCTTCTTCTCAACCCCGCAACCGACTCAAGCGGAAAGTCGACGGGGAAAATCACACTGACGATACCCCAAATCCTCTCGATCCCAACGCGACAGGCTAGTCGCGTCGCCCACCTCACCTATAGAAACTAACTATGTTTGTATCTGGAGATTTTTCCCGGCCCTATCTCATATGTTATATGATGATTGCCGGATTCGTTTCTGTTTTTTTTTTTTGTTGTGTTTTCTCCACAACAAGCCCTCAATTTATGTTGATTCATTTGGACGCATGTTCATTTCTCCCTTCATAGCATTTCGTCTTCCTTCGCATTTACCTTTGTAAACCGCCATGTGCACAGTGAGACATTTTCTTTTCAACATCACGTAAACGGGAATGGGAACTTCAGGTATGTACGCGCGCACGACAGATTATATGAGATCTTTGTTCTTTTCTTTTCTTTTCTTTTCTTCTTTCTTTTGTTTTATGTGGCTTTCTTTCCGCCTTGGTTAAAAGATATCTATGGGTGAAAGTGTATGACGTCTTTTCTCTCTCTCTCCCTCTCCCTCTCCCTCTCCCTCTCTTTTTCTTTTTATTTGCTTTTCTTCTTTTTATCCCCTTGCGATTTAATTATAAACATTTTGCACACTAGTGTATCAGCAGCGACAGAGCAACAGCAAAGATTCCATTATTGCCATTTGTCAATTTCAGCCTCAGCCTCAGAATCAGCAGTCCCTTTCACCTTCCAGCCTGTCTCCTTCAGGAACGTTCCCTGCGCTGCATTGATGGTCTCCCATCCATCCATTAGAAAGGAGTATCTTCTTTCCTTTTTTTGTCGAGGTAGAATCATAGAAATTTTGCTTTCACACGGGAAATTCATACGGTTATATCTAATATGCCATAGATGCAAAAGAGAGAAGGCGTTTTCAGTTTTTACTTCTGATATGTTGTCTTGGGGTGGGAGGGAGAAATATGCGGGCCTAGGTGGTAGACAAGATATGGATGTATTGAGAGCGACTTCTTGAGTCTTGTGGGCTCCTTGTAACTATGATATACTGCCATCCACACTGCGTTTTGATATAAACCTTGCCAATTGCTAAACCCTCCCCCCTGGGAGAACCTGATATGGCCTCTTTGCACACAATGTCCTTCTGTCCCGGCCGCATTCCTTATCCTTGGATGCAAGTTCAATATCACATGATCAGGCTAACGAGGGTGCGGCAATTCCCGGAACAGCCGCGGCGGCATACTCTCCGGCTCGGCTAAGCTCTTTGCCGACGCCAGCCATCCATCCAACATCTTTAGCCCCCGCTTGAAGATATCCACAGTAGAGACCCCCGAGAGAAAGGCTAGCTGGTTGCTCTGATCTTCCTCGTTCCTTTGTTTGCTACCTCTTATAGACCAGAGACGCTGGACCACCAGGCTATAGTTAACGATACTTACACCCACTGGTACCTTGACCCATTGCTGTCCACTTTGATGTTGATACTGGACTGCGGCTCGGCCAGTGGGGAAACTAAACAGAGAGACTAGCATTCTTCGCCGACCTGACCTCTCTCACAATTGCTACTAAAACACATTGGGAAGGGGGAAAGGAGAGTAAGGAATAATAAGCATATCTAGTTTAGCTAGGATTGCGGACATTTTCATCTCACATACAATGTCGTTCTATCTGCGAGTTGCTCGGGGCTTCTCGAACCCTCTAAAGGTACTTCATCTTTGCCATCCCCAATGCACATGTCCATAGATACACGGTGGACAATACTTAACTTCAACCTTCTTGCGCCTGACTAACGTCAGCCATCTTATGCCTCCCTTAGCACCAACGATTCCTCGTCCGTGCCTTCTCAAGCACCCTCCGCCGAAATGAGATCAACAAAGTCCTCCCATCCGCTGCGGAAGCGATCAAGGACATGAAATCCAATTCCACTCTCCTTGCCGGCGGGTTTGGCCTCTGCGGTGTCCCAGATACCCTGATTGACGCTGTACATGCCAACAAGTCTATCACAGGACTAACCGCAGTCAGCAATAACGCCGGCGTCGATGGAGCGGGCCTGGGTCTGCTCCTAGGCAGCGGACAGATCAAGAAGATGGTCGCCAGCTACGTCGGAGAAAACAAGACTTTCGAGCGCATGTATCTCGGCGGCCAAATTGAACCTCGAAATTGACGCCTCAGGGAAACTCTGGCTGAACGCTGTCGTGCCGGTGGTGCTGGGCATCCCTGCCTTCTACACCCCCGCCGCATTTGGAACCGTCGTCCAAACGGGCAACCTGCCGCTGAAACACAACGCGGATGGAACCGTCGCTGCTTATGGTGCACCAAGAGATGTCAAGGTCTTCGATGGCAAGAGTTACGTCATGGAGGAAGCCATCAAAGGAGACTATGCTTTCGTCAAGGCCTGGAAAGCAGATAGACTCGGTAACTGCCAGTTCCGCTTCGCAGCCGCGAACTTCAATGGCGCTATGGGCCGCAATGCGAAGATGACCATCGTCGAGGCTGAGCATATCGTCGAGGTCGGCGAGATTGACCCGGCTGCTGTGCACTTGCCAGGCATCTATGTTAAGCGCGTCGTTCAGAGCACGAAGGAGAAGAAGATTGAGAAATACACTTTTGCCAAGGAGGATGGTGAGGGAGCCGATCTCTCTGCGCTTGGTAAAGGCGATGTTGCTAGTAAGCGGGAGCGTATTGTCCGCCGCGCCGCGAAGGAGTTCAAGAATGGCATGTATGCGAACCTGGGCATTGGGATGCCCATGCTCGCTCCTAGTTTTGTGGACCCGTCTGTGGAGGTACAGCTGCAGTCTGAGAATGGCATTCTCGGGCTGGGCCCGTATCCGAAGCGTGGCATGGAGGATCCAGACTTGATCAACGCGGGCAAGGAGACCGTTACGCTTCTGCCCGGTGCATCGTGTTTTGGTAGCGACGAATCGTTTGGCATGATCCGCTCTGGACGGGTTAATTTGACGATCCTGGGTGCCATGCAAGTTAGTGCGAATGGCGATTTGGCCAACTGTAAGTTTATACGTCCCCGCCCTATCTCCAAACAATATCCCCCTTCCACGTCCCACCTCACTACCTATATGCATTGCTTTCCGCATCTAACAGATCAAAACCTACTGCACAGGGATGCTTCCCGGCAAGATTAAGGGCTTCGGCGGTGCCATGGACCTCGTCTCCAATCCCACTGCCACCAAAGGTTGTCGTCACCATGGAACACACCGATAAGAAGGGCAACCCCAAGATCCTCAAGCAGTGCGAGTTCCCACTGACTGGCCGAGCGTGCGTGAGCCGCATCATCACCGAGCTCTGTGTCTTTGATGTCGATTTCACGGACGGCCTGACTCTGGTTGAGCTTGCGGATGGCGTGACGGTTGATGAGGTGAAGGCGAAGACGGAGGCACCGTTTAAGGTTGCCGATGTGGTTCAACCGATGTTGTGAGTGGAACGGGGCGGAAGGAAGGGTTTAATTGAGGGTTATTCTGTTCTTCTTGGGTTAGGGTATTGATATCCATGTTGTTACTTCTTCTTTTTTCCCTCCCATTTCTTTTCTTTTCTTTTCTTTCCCTTCCTTTCCTTTTTTAACGGGTTAGACTTCGGTTTTAGCTAGATGTTATATATGTAAAGGTGTGAATATAGTTGTTTTAGTATGAGAATTCATGTTTCAGGCTTGGATAATAATTCTAGATATCAATCAGGTGTATCATATATATATATATATATATATCTATGCATATTAAACGTAGTATTACAAAAGAAGTACAAAAAAATACCAACAACGGGGAGTCCCAGACACCAAGCAGAGACCAACCATATAATACACGTCCCGTATATAAAATCCCCCAAAAATCCTCCCAAAAAGCCTCCTTATATTATATATATATCGTACCCGAAACTAAAGCTTCCTACTGAAACCTCAAAACCCCCTTAAACTTCTCTACCATCCTCCTCACCCAGCCCCTCCCGGGTGCGTCCCTAAACTCCCTCAACACATCATCATAATGCGTCGGGGCACTGCGCGGATGTCGCAGATTCTGCGGCAACGGATATTGCTTCTCATACCGATTTTCCAACAGTGAGTAGAGCGCATTGATGCTGGAGGTGGAAAATTGAGATTGCTGCCGCTGTTGGTGTTGTTGTGTTTGTGCCGTTGTTGTTGTTGTTGTTGCTGCTGTGGTTGGAGGGGAAGGAGAAGGAGAAGATGTGGGAAGACGGGTTTTTAGATATGTTTGTACGGAGACGGAGGCGGGGCGGACAGGGTCGCTGGGCCAGCGGGATATAAGGCGGTTTATGTGGGCGGAGAGTGTTTTGGGGGAGAGCTGGACGTGGGAAAGGTTAGGTTCTTTTTCTTTTTCTTTTCTTATTTTTCCTTTATGGGGGGCGGGCGGGGGGCTTTTTAGAATGCGGAGGCGGATTTGACTGGGTGGGAAAGGGACAGACTGAGTTTGACATGGTTGGCTTGTGTATTTTGGTTATATACCCTCAAGATTCAGGTAGTATGGTAGTTTTCTGTGAAAAGTAGGATGGAAATGTTGCTGGGATTTTTCTAAACAACTGAGTAAATGGAATTAAAGAGGTACATGTATATAAATCCCAGGGCTGTCGTGTATTCAATCGGCCAGGAGTATGATGCCATGAATTGGTTCATATTCAATAATTCCGCAATGAACTTCAATATAAATTTGAACGCAGGCTTAGTCATCCGATTCGTCATGTGATTTGCTCACATAACCTCCACTGTTTCCTGTCTCATCTTACCTAGGTAGGCGCCTAAACACCTCCTTCATCTCCTGGCATCCTCCACGTCCTCCTATTTATTTCTCCTTATTGTTGTTTTATATATCCGATCCCTAGGTCTTTTGCTGTCTTTTCTGTTCTGCATTGCATTCGGTCTTCTCCCCTGTGGCTCAGTCATGAGCTTACATCGGTATCAGCGGGTATGGCCTTACACTCTCTCTCCAACCAACAATATGCCTCCTTGACTCCAGAAACAGATCGAATTTTACCACGAAGTTTGTGAAGATTCGCTATTGCTAACAACATATATCTCTCTTCAGGTTGATGGGCATGATGCAGATGACGATGACGAACAAACATTATACCCTGTCCCATCCGGGCCCGTGCCTTCGTCTCCGCCACCTTCATTCCACTCCAGATCATCCTCCCCACCCTCGCGCCGTGTCTTATCCCAGGACCCGTTACACTCAGAAGCAGATCAAACGCTTGCGGATACGTTCGGCGATGATGATGAAGACTCAGATGCCGAAGATGGAGTCGATGACAGACAGAGACTGATGAGGGGCAATACCAGCTCTCAGGGTAATAGCGTCTCAACGAACTTCGGAAGCGGAGGAAATAGGGCCCAGCCTCAGGCCGTGTCGGCTGCGGGGAATGTAACGCAAGCGGCGTCTACTCCACCAATTTCTACCTCATCCAGAACGATACGAGGGGCTGGGACTACGAACGATGGGGTTTTTGCTAATTTAGCCGCGAAGCCTGAGCGTGGAGAAAAAACTGAGGATCTACCACCGGTGCGCTTTCTGCAAAGTTTAAGAATTCTCCTGGTCTTTTCACTGCTGAGTAGCAGCGAAGGATGTAATTTACTAACCAGGTTTCAGACATATGAACAAGCCGCGGCTGACGCCACCCCTCCTTATTGGGAGACAACCATCGTTGCTCCCGGCATGTCCTCCGATGAAGTCTATGTCGATGGCCTCCCTGTCGGTTCTGTTTTCTCGTTTATCTGGAACGGCATGATATCTACGTCTTTTCAACTTGTCGGATTCCTCCTTACCTACCTTCTTCACACAACTCACGCGGCCAAGAACGGCAGCAGGGCCGGCTTAGGCCTCACTCTCGTCCAATATGGCTTCTACATGAAAGGCAGCGGTGAAATAAATAGGCCATCAGAACCCGACGGCAGCTACGCCACCCCCCCAGACCCCAACAGTCATAATTTCGACCCGAGCAAAGTGGGCCAACCCGGTTACGACTCAGGCGCTGACTCGGGTTCAAAACCTTTCGCGGGTATAACGACAAGCGAATGGGTATCGTATATACTTATGGTTGTTGGGTGGTTTATATTGATTCGGTCCGTCAGTGATTACCTGTGGGCACGGCGACATGAACAACTCGTCCTGCAGAGCCCTGACCGTGGCCTCAGCGTGCCTATAATAGCCGAAGGCGAACGGGCTGAAACGGTCGTTTGAGGTCAGGTTGAAACGGTCGTTTCCTGATACGTTGTTTCAATTGGGCCTGATTCACCTTTCGTTTGTTCTGGATGGATTTCTGGATTTTCGGGGATATGGGGGATCGGAACCTGTTCATTTTATTGCATTTTATTCTTGTGTGTAATTGCCAAACCAGGCTTGGAGCTCAGGCGTCCTACCTCCTTGTTTATCTCTTCTTTGTCTTTTCGGTGTCTTTCCCACAGAAAACCCTCTGTATAGCCTTTTTTTTTTTTTTTCCCTATATCGTCTCCTCCACCGTCTTAAAGCCGAACCTCCTATCAATGTTGGAAGGTATACCTTGCTGCGTGCGGCAAATGCCTCTTGTCATTCCTCTTCGCCGTTTTCCCTCCCGTGTGGAAAACTCACACATGTCAATACATACATACAAACATGCTTATATTCACCGTCCTTCTGATTTCTTTGTCTCCTCTTCTTCAGTTATCTTTAACTAACCTCACTACCGGGAGCGGCTTACGTACGTGTACATGCCGTTATTTTTAAATATATATATATATATATTTTCTTCGATTGACGTCATTTTCTTCTGCTTCCGCCATCCCTTGCTTTCTTTCCTTCTTCCTTTTCTTATTTCATTTGTCGTTTTTGTCACATGAATCCGTCAATTGGTGTTTATGAACATACTTATGACTTTTAATGACGGGCATGCTTCTCTCGCTAAGACCTGTTACGTATGAATCTGTTGGAGGGATTGGATTGGGTGGCTCAACTAGCCACACAACGTAATTATCACGCCAACACAAGCTTTTTCAATTTTAGGTAACTTCAATTCTATGGATCCTAGTATCTTTGATATTATATACGATATAGAGATGATATCAAAGGAATAGATATATTCAAGTGCAGAGAGAGAGAGAGAATATACCAATACAGAACCTTTTCTAACAAAAGTGAATTATATATAATTTGGAATAGTCATTTTCGATGGACTTTGTTGAAGTAAATAGCTAAAAGACTTCTTAAGATTGAAATTCCTTGACATTAGCATATTGTCTGCACTTTATATCCCATTTTTTCTCATGGGGACCTGTTGTGTGGTGGTGAGGCGCAACCAACCAACACCCAGGAGGCACATTAAATACTAATCAAAAAATGCAGTTTGCTATCGACTTTCGATATATCACGCAGCAAAATTTGGTCTCCTCCGCTTACTCGCACAGGTCTATTATGAATGCAGGTTTCGGATTGGGCATGGGCGTTGGAATGGCGATTGCACGTTTGCATGAGATGAGGTGAGACAAAAGCTTACTACATGCCACCACATCGTTTAGGTTGTGCTGCTTCGGAGATATTTTTTCTCTGTTTGCCAACAAAGGGACGTTATGCAGAGTACAGTACGGGGCCTTGGTTTTTAAATACTATGATATGTTGGAGAGAGAGAGGGTCAGATAGATGGATGAGGTACCTACGTAGGAAACCACAATCCCAGGCCCTTCTGCAAATTCTGCTGCTGAGAAGCAAGACACCGCACCAGAGATGGTGTTGTTATATAACAGGTAGGATGGTTGTGTTGGTTGTGTTGGTTGTGCTGGTTGCGTTGGCGATCAACCGGATATCTGTTTTGCACACAAGAGTCAGTACAAACCACATGTGGGGTGGCCTGACTGCAGGATGGTTCTTGTTTGTTTGGAGGGATTGGACTGGGATGTTCGTCCCCTCTACCACCAGATGGGTGCCATGAGTATCAGAGTATAGAGTATGATACAGAGTACATGGATGCAATATATGCCGACCATTGTGGTGTGGATGTCGCCGGCAACCCATGCCTAGAACCGAACAGCAACACGCCAACAGGTTGGTGAGCTCCTCCAGCATGGGGACATGAAGAGGCGCTTTGGATGACCCGTTGACCGAGCGAGTTTGGTAGGCTGTCGAGGGTGGCGGTATTGTTGCAGGAAGCGCCACCCAAGAGCTTAGAGCGTTTATTTATTTTAGGATTCCTCTGGTGGGGCCCAGCGTGCAACCCGCGGCGAAATTATTATCCACCTTCCATGACGGGAGTTGTTGATATTGCCTCCAGCCGACGGACAACCAGCGAACGACAGCCACAACTCGTCGTCGAGAAGACACACCCAGGCTGGCGGGGGAATTACGAGCCAGCAGAGAGATATTTGAACTCACGCCAAAGCCTATTAGGGCTGGAGGCTTGCTTGCCAGTTTCTGGCTGGCCACTATTCTTCATCTCTCCTTCAATCCCTGCTGGCTGTGCAGATTACCATGCTCCTTTCTCCCTTTCTTTTGCCTCTACCTCTTTGATACCTGTTTTTCCAACACTGTTCAGACCAGTTTCTCAGGTGTTTCAATTTAACTTTTTTTTTTCTTTCTTATGGATCGAGTATCTGAAGTGCTACTGCAAAAAAGCGAAGATAAGCAGCATATATAGACACTCCACGGTGTCAGACGCGGGGATATTCTTCCTTGCCTTTATCTGACACTTTGACATCTTCAAATGTTCTGTCAGTTCCGTCTCGCAATAGCGGTAAGGATAGTGCTTATTCTCTTTGTTCGTCGTTTGCCTTTTTGGATATATCCCGGCGGACTCACGGGCTCAGAAGCTGATGCTGGAAGTTGTGACTCTTGCTTCGGACGATATAAAAAGCCAACTATTATCTGAAAATTCCTGTTCATCGGATTAGGGGAAAGACCAAAAAACTTGGAGAAAAAATACGAAAAAACGTCGCATATCATAGCCCTCCTATTCATTCATTTTCAACCGGCCTCACTATACATACCACGGGTAGTATGGATGGCGCCCCTCGTCATGTTGTGGAAGCACAGTCTTATGGCCCCCTTATCACTTTGGCTGCCAATCCGCCTCGCTATCCCAGGAATCCGTGCAAGGCTCCTCTAAAACCGTTGGTACTGTATATTGTCCGTGTCCCAGGCAGCAGAGGTACGATTCCAAAATTTCCTGTACCGCATATAATGAAACCCCCTTCCGGAGCTACTTTATCATACACGTGTGCCACTTACGCCACTTACGCTGTGACCAAAAGAAAGCCAATTTTTATTAACATTTAACTATTTTAATTTCTCGTCTAGATGTTTTCCTTTCCCCGCTAAAACCGCCAACCGAATGCAGTATTTCACCCAGCTCTCATCGAGGCTGCCCTCTATTATATCCACGTCTCAACACCAGAAGATGAGGCTGTCCTGTCTGTTCTCGAAAAGGAAAAATGCTTGAAGGAAGCGCCCCTGGAGGCTAATCGACCCCCTTTTCCCGTCGCCCCATCGGCTCGCCTCCAGAGGAAACCCGTGCCGCGTGGCGAGGTAAAGCCGCCTTCAATCCCCAGGCGACCAGTGTCATCCGATACAAGCATATCCTTTCAAACCGGCGCAGGGAACGTGTGTCGTCACTCACAGGGCCCTGGCGCAGTTGGGACACCGCCAGATGGATTTCCAGACGCACAGAGGATCCCCACCGTCACCCGACCTGTACCACCTATACCTCTAGATCCGGCTAAACACCTTTTTCCCCAGTCAGCCCTGAATTCTACCGATCCTAGGACTGGAAATGGTCAACCGAGAGGCGGCGCACAGCCCATGAATTCGTTTGGGAAAGGGGAATATTTAACTTTCCCCTCGGCTCCCGCCTCGCAAGGAGGACCCCAAGAACGAGCTAGCTGGGATGGGGGACGATCATCCATCCTGCGCGAGCAGGATCCACCTCATAATGTTGGATCATCCCCTCTTAATCCCCAACAGTCTTCCAGGGACCGACGTAGTTCTCCCAATTTCTTCCAACATGGACGGCGACGCCCTAACGAAAAGTCTCGGAAAACCCCTTCCCCTTTCCACCTGACACTTATACGGAGAGATACTACCCACGACATACAGTGGAACGTCGGGGGTATCACGAATTGCACCTCTCAGTCGTCCCACGAAGTGGCACTGGATGGCACCATAACCATCGAAATTCACACGCTGGGATACAAGAAACTCGCCGCTGAGAAATTGCGTTTCTCTGCAGAATGCCCAAGGCGCTCCCCACCGCGACTCCACCAACGCCTGTGCGGGCTAATTGACAGACGTTCATCCGCCACCTCACTCTCACCAA